TGAAGGGTCTAGGCCCGAAACGTCAGCCTTTCTGCTCCTATGATGCTACTTGGCCTGCTGTGTTCATCCAGCCCTGCACCTTGTTGTCTCTTGTAACAGTTTTTTGGATATGTTCCAACGATGTATGTAAGATATTGAGATCTGTATGAGTTTATTTACAGACGTAAAGTTGGATTAATGTATCACTGGTTAAGAGAAACTCCATCTCAGTAGAGTCATTCTCGTTATTTAATCATAGTTTTCTTTGTGGTTGTTAATGCCCATGTCTCTGTTTCTGATTTAGTTGTGTGTGATCACTTGTAGAAACATAATTGATACATTCTTATCGAAATTCACGTTCCAGTGTAGTTGTAGTTGTTTAATGGTTTGATGTAAACTTCCTGATAGATTAATCCAAGTATTCTTATGGCGAAGCTTTGAACTGCACGTAGCAAGGAGGTTCAACATTTGACCAGGCCTCGATCCTCAATTTTCCATCCCAACCGCCTCCACACCCAAAGGATCATACGCCACTATTTCCACCACCTCCAGCAGGGTGCCACCACCAGAAACACATTCCCTTCCCCTACTTTGTCATGATTCTGTAGGGATCATTCCCTCTAGGACACCCTGGTCCACTCCTCCTCCAGTCCCAACACTACCTCACAGCCCCACGGCACCTTCTCATGTAATTGCAGAAGGTGCAACACTAGCCTAGTTTACCTCCTCCCTCCTGACTAAGCAAGGCGCCAGATCCACCTTCCAGGTGAAGCAGTGATTTATGTGCACTTCATTCTATCATGTCTAGAGTATTTGCTGCTCACAATGTGGACTCCTGCACAATGGGAAGACAAAATGCGGACTAGATGATAGCTTTGTGGAACCCTCTGCTCTATCTGTAAAAATGACCCCGAAATTCCAGTTGCTTGCCATTCCAACACACCCCCATGTTCCCATGCCAACATTTCTGTCTCAGGTGTGCTGCACTGTTCCAGTGAGAGTCGGTCCAAGCTGGAGGAACAGCACCTTATCTTCCCCTAACTACCTTACAGCCCTCAGGACTCAACATTGCATTTAACAATTTCAGAGTGTGAACACCTCCCTCCTGATCCAAATCCCACCCCTACAGCCCCATGTCCTGTTCTGCTTGGGTTGCTTCCAGCACAGCAAACTCATATTCAACTATCCACCGTTCCCGTTATCACCTATTCAGCATTTACTTATTCCCTAGCTTACTGTCAACAATCCCTGCTTCCCTTTCTCTCCATCTCTCTGTCTCTGGTCATCTTGTCCATCTATTTGATTCAGTTCCCCACCCCCTTCACCAGCATAAATACCCACCCATTTCCGAGCTGCTTTTAGTTTTGACGAATGGTCACTGGACTCGTAACTTTAACTCTGCTTTTCTCTCCACAGATGCCGCCATGCCTGCTGAGCTTCTCCAGCATTTTGCTTTTGTTATAGCCACTGCTGTACCTGAATTAAGATTGATTATGTCTGAGGACCGACAGTTTCGCTGTGGCCTGATTGGCAGTAGTAGTAGTGGCGCATGGAAGTTGTAACCCTTGTGGTGAAATACTGTGTGTGATTCTCAGTCGTAATGTGTTTTGTTGCATTTCAGGATGGATCATCCAGTTGTACATGTCTCTTGGAACAACGCAGTGGCTTACTGTACCTGGGCAGGGAAAAGGCTGCCCACAGAAGCTGAATGGGAATATGCATGCAGAGGGGGACTTGAGAACAGGTAACTATAGAACAAAAGTCCATATCAAATACATCTTTGTTCATTTGATTTCATTTTACAGCCTGTAACACAAAAGAGAAAGAAATCAAACAAAGCCAGTGTAATTTAAAGTCATTTTGGGGAGCTTAATATTCCAAACATGAATTGGGAAATAGGAAAGCAGGACCTTTTTGGCTTGAACTGTTAATTTACATTTCGTTAGCTACTAAGCTTTTCAGGAGAAGCTTGTTACCATTCTGAACAAAGCAGCCCGTTCGATTGGCACTGCATCCCATTCCCTCCACCACCAGCATTCAGTAGCAGAACTGTGTGTCTCCAATATGCACTATGGCAATTCACCAAAGATTCTCAGACAGCACCTTCCAAACCCATGACCACTTCCGTCTAGAAGAACAAGGGCAGCAGATACATGGGAACACCGCCACCTTCAAGTTCCCCTCTGGGCCACGCACCATCCTGACTTGGAAATATGTCCTTCACTATCATTGGGTCAAAAACCTGGAATTCCCTCCGTAATGGCATAGTGGGTCGACCCACAGCAGGAGGACTACAGCGGTTCAAGAAGGCAGCTCACCACCACCTTCTCATGGGCAACTAGGGGTGGGCAAGAAATGCTGACCCAGACAGCGACATCCACATCCCACAAATGAATAAACAAAATCAAAATCAGGGAAAACTTTTCAAATGTCTCAAGTCGTGAATGGAGATTTGAAACCACATCTTTGCCTTTTCACAGAATGTTTCAAATTTTTTGAGTTCAGTGCAGGGTTGCACTCTCAAAGGAAATTAAGGATGAGCAATTAATGCTTGCCTTATCACTAAGTTCCGCACCTTGTGATTTTTTTTAAGTGCAAGGAAAGCATAGGTTATTATGGGGAGAACATGAAATTTGAATGGCAAAACTTCTTGCAGTAAGAGCCATACAGTCTACACCATCCTGAAAAGAACTTACGAGATTCCTTCCTGGAACAGCAAGTTTCTCTTACGGGAACCGATTGAGTGGACTGGACCTGTATCCACTGGAGTTTGGAAGAATGGGACTGAAACACACTGAATGCTGACAGTGCTGCATTGACTTGATGTAAAGATGTGGGATGGAGGGATACAGAACAAGAGGTCACGGTTTCAGGGTCCAGGATAGGCAATTTCAGACTGAGATGACAGAAATTGTCTTCACTCAGAGGGTGGTGAATCTGTGGAATTCTCTACCACGGAAGACTGGGACGCTAAGCCACTGATTACATACATGAAGGAAATAGATATAGGCTAAAAGTGCCCGGAGGTATGTGAAGAGAGCAGGAGTGTTGAGTTGAAATAGAGGATCAGTGATGTTTATTGAATGGCAGAGTGGGCTTAATGTTATGAATAGCCTGTTCATTATTTCATATGTTTACATGGAATACCATGCTTCATAAGGTATTTGGCTGTATGCATTTATATATTTTCATGGCCTGCAAATTGTGCCTGACTCAATCTCTACTATTTAGTTCTAAAAGCAGACAAATGTATTCCAAGCTGGTTTTTTGACTTATTATCTGCAGTGAGTGATTGGATTGAAATCGTCCATCTTTTGCCTCTCTTTAGTGTTGTTTAGCTATTTTCTACAGCAATAGAATCAGGTTATACGTATAACACAAACTGATAATACCAAAAATATTTGATGACGGAACATTAATAAATCACTTGTTTGGAACTGCTACTTTTTCTTTGCTTGCATGATTTGATCCTGTGAAAATAAAAATCAGTTTTTATTTTGCAGCAACCTTGACCATCCTCATGGTACTGTGGGGTAAATGAAAAAGTGATAAAACAAGATAATAACTGAGCTTTGGAAAACAACCTACACTACTCAATGCTGCACTCAAATCTCTGCCATATTAGCAGGTCTAAATACAGTATTCACTGGCAAATATCCACTCACGTTCAGTTGCATGGTAGAAGTTTGAGGGCAAAATTACCAAAATTCACTGATTGTGTGAAAGCTGACCTGACAATGCACAAGACAGTTTGCAGTATCCAATACTTCTATAACAAAGATGTTGTGAAACTTGAAAGGGTTCAGAAAAGATTTATAAGGATGTTGCCAGAGTTGGAGGGTTTGAGCTGTAAGGGAGAGACTGAATAGGCTGGGGCTATTTTCCCTGGAGCTTTAGAGGCTGAGTGGTGACGTTATAGAGGTTTATAAAATCATGAGGGGCCATGGATAGGGTGAATAGCCGAGGTCTTTTTCCCAAGGTGGGAGAGTCCAAAACTAGATGGCATAGGTTTAAGGTGAGAGGGAAAAAATTTAAAAGCAACCTAAGGGGCAACTTTTTCACACAGAGTGTGTTGCGTGTATAGATTGAGCTGCCAGAAGAAGTGTTGGAGACTGGTACAATTATAACATTTAAAAGGCATCTGGATGGATATATGAATAGGAATGGATTAGAGGGATATGGGCCACATGCTGGAAAATGGGACTAAATTAATTTAGGATATCTGTTTGGCATGGATGAGTTGGACTGAAGGGTCTGTTTCCATGTACAACTCTATGATTCTATGACCTCTTGAATCAGTGTCAGATATGGTAAATAGAAAATTTTACTTTCATCATGATTATTGCAGTTCTGTACTGATGAGGTAAGTGATCCTATCTGAAATACCATCAGGAATGCAACACTTGGCCATAGTACCTTGAGTTCAGTTGGAGTGCATGCACACGTATGATTACAGGAAGGGCAAGACAATGGAACTTGTCTTGGTTCATTAATTAATCGGCACCCAGGATTCACTTATTGCAGCATCCAGTTTACTTCTTCAGTTGTTCTAATATTTCTACATCCATTATCGAACCTGGGAGTCCATTGCAAATGTTTCTCAGCCTTCTGCATGAATTGAAAACACATTCACATCAGTCCTGAAGTCATCTTTGACTAAGTTTGTTCTATTTTGGTCAGAATAACATGATGCTCCCAGAATGAAAACAGCCTGTGGACACTTGCTATCTGAGGTTACTTCAGTCAGCATGAGAAAGTGGGAGCTGTTGAAACTTGTGGAATTATATCCCACTGAGAACAGATGTACTCACAACATGAGGAGGTTATCATTGGCAGGAGAATTCTATGTAGTTATCACTATTAATGTTTTAGTACATGAGATTAATTTATCAAACTGCAGTCATATATTGACAAATAAAGCAATAGAAGACAAATTTGGCAAACAGACTTGGCCTTTGATCTGGGAAAACAGCGCTTGAAAGCCCATGGTTGCAGGGCCACATATCATACTAAAATTCTGTGTGTGTGTGTGTGTGTGTGTGTGTGTGTGTGTGTGTGTGTGTGT